ATCCAACCCATTCCATGATTCTTTCTCAGCTGTTTTCCCATCTCCTCTGACAAGATCCAATGTTTCCTTCAGCGATCTCCCCCACCTCCGTTCAAAGTGTCGTCTACAATACAGAAATGCCTCGATCCTGAGTGTCCAGCCAGGGCAAACCTTGGGAAGGTGAAAGAGGAGAGGAATTTTCCAGGTTCTTTGTGACTTGCTCTGGAGCAATTGGTTGTAAATGGTTGCTAACTTGCTGGAGGGAAAGAAAATTCCTGTCGTAGGCAAGGCTGAAGTGGGCATGGATTTTTTTTTTTTTTTTTTTTTCCTTCCCTACCTCTTTGTTGGAAAGTGTTCTTTGATGCAAACAACAGTTCTGCTCCACCTCAGAGTTGGCTGCGTTTCAGCAGCAGTGGGTGTTATGAAATTCCTGCATTTTTAGCGCTGATGGATGTGCCTCTTTCCATGGAAAGATTCGGCTGCCAGCCGGGATCGTAAGAACCGTGTTGTCGTTCCGTTGCGCTTGAGGGAGCGCTCCTCACTGAGGGTTTGGGAATCTCTGGGCCAGTTGGGACTTGGAAGTATTAATTTGAGTAACTGGTTCTCTGCAGAGATCTGCTGGGGGGGGTGATGATGACACGACTCCTTCCAGAAGGTTTTTAACATTCCTGGGATTCCAGGAGAGGGGTCTCAGCAAAAAAAAAGAAAAAAAAAAACACCCTTTAAATTGTCATCTACAAGAACAGTCACAGCTAAAGAAAAATATTGGCTTTAGGCTTGTTTGAAAATGCAAGAAACTCCTAAAATAATTAACTTCACTTTGAAAAACAGAAGTGCAATAGAGGGGAGGCAAATGTCTGTTGTCTTTGGAAATGTTTCTCTCCCAATTCTCTGCTGGGCACCAGAACGCGACCAGATCTGCATCCAGATCAGGTTACTGGTGCCTCTGCTCGAGCAGCCTTTCTGCTTGGTGGGGGGTGATGCTGCACAACACCCTCCGAGCCCCTTCTGAACTGGTGGAAACAGGAAAACTCATGGAGTGATTGGAGGGGAAAGGGGGAGACAGAGGGGCTGGACACCATGGGTGTCTGGTCTCCTTGGTCTTGCCTGTTCCCAGTGCTCAATCCCAGAAAAATTGTCGTTGGAAGATTATTTGAGCTCTGTGTCTAGGAAATCATGACATGGTTGCAAAAGCTGATGTGATGATTTGTGGGTTTGCAGGTCGCACCCTGGAAGGGTGCGCTGGGCCACCAGCTTCATACCCCACGGCCAGAGAGGTGAACTAAATGGGTCTTGCTTCCTCCAAATTATCTCCAAAACCTGAAAATAAACAGACTCCCAAACTTCTGGGATGCCAAGAAGCAAAGTTGGCTTTTTTTCTAGACAGAGGGACAAGAAAAGTTGCTGTTAAGGTCAGGACTTTGAATCTTGAAACAGTCTCTCACCTCCGTGTGTGGTTTGTGATGGGCTTTCGTGAGCCCTGGCCTGATCCAGCCTGACATTTCCCGTATCCCACTTTGTCCCGACGCCGGCGCGTGCCGGGGACTGAGTTCCAAAAGTGCCTCTGACCCTTTGTCAGCACTGGGTGCTCCGGCCTCGCTCCGTCTGACGTGCTGAGCCATTGTGATGGACTGTTGACTCTTCAGGCGAAACCAGTTACGTTGGGCTCTTTTCCTGATCGCTCCGGGTGTTCCCGTACGAAAACGGCGCCTCCAAAGCGCTCGGTCAGTGCCAGTCTGAAACCTTAAAGCAACGAGTAAATCCAAAGTATTTTTAGACTGCTGCCATCCCAAAATGCACAGCTGGAGAGCATGTGTGGCTCCATAACCCTCTGCAGCTCTTCACTGGGGTTCTGCTTCTCCAGCACCAGCGTGGAGGGTCCATCGGTGACTTAAACCCGTTGCTGGTAGCAGAAGTGCTGGAGCAAAGCAAAGGGTGGGCTGGGGAAATGGAGGGGGGGAGAGCAGTTTTATTGCAGTTTGGGTGTCTTAAACCAGTGGTGTAACTGGGAGGATAATAAATGCCTGGTGGGAAGGTGAAGGATTCGCTCAGCGTCACTTAAGATGCTTTGAATTAGAAACGGGTCGTTGTAACCGTAATACTGGCGTAAATCTGTCTGGTTGCAGCAAGGATTTCTGGCTCTGTTCAGACCAGGCTTCTTGGTAACTTCATTGCGTGTTAAAATACAGATTTTTAGATTTTTTTTTTTCCCAAAAAATGACTCTGGGATACCTGCTGGGGCAGCTTTTTGCTTCTTCTAAAAACGTACGTGGAAATCTTGTGAAAAGCCCCAATGCCTGGTGCTGTCTCGTGGGTGGCCCCATCGGTCCAAAGGTGCGAAACTTGAGCTGTAGCAAAAGTAGGTTCTTTCTGATTTTTTTTTTTTTTTTTTGTAGCCCTCGTGAACTTTCTGGCATGATTTTGGCCTTTGGAGGCTGCAGGATGCAGGGGCAGAATTTAGGGAGCCTGGTGCAATTTCGTGAACTTTCTGGAATGATTTTGGTCTTTGGAGGCTGCAGGATGCAGGGGCAGAATTTAGGGAGCCTGGTGCAATTTCGTGAATTTTCTGGAATGATTTTGGTCTTTGGAGGCTGCAGGGGCAGAATTTAGGGAGCCTGGTGCAATTTTGTGAATTTTCTGGAATGATTTCGACCTTTGGAGGCTGCAGGATGTCAGGGCAGAATTTCGGGAGCCTGGTGCAATTTCGTGAATTTTCTGGAATGATTTTGGTCTTTGGAGGCTGCAGGATGCAGGGGCAGAATTTAGGGAGCCTGGTGCAATTTCGTGAACTTTCTGGAATGATTTTGGTCTTTGGAGGCTGCAGGATGCAGGGGCAGAATTTAGGGAGCCTGGTGCAATTTTGTGAATTTTCTGGAATGATTTTGGTCTTTGGAGGGTGGGGAGGG